AGACGGAGGTGGACTTCGGACCTTCCGTGAAGGTGAGCTCAGCAAGGAAGTCAGCTAAAACTTGAGTTTTTATGGCGGTGCGTGGCTCGTATGACAAGTCATACTCCCCTAATTCGATAGCCCACTTGGTGAGGCGACCGGAAGCCTCGGGGCGCACCAATATTTGCCGAATGGGCTGGTCAGTCCGGACGGATATGTGATGGGCGAGGAAGTAGGGCTTCAATTGGCTAGCTGCGTGGATTAGTCCCAGCACCAGTTTTTCCACCTGAGTGTATCGAGTCTCTGGCCCGCGGAGAGCTCGGCTGACGTAGTAGACCGGCACTTGGGTACCCTCATCTCGGATGAGTACAGCGCTGACAGTCTCGTCGGCGGCAGAGAGGTAGAGGTAGAGCTTCTCCTCGGGCCGAGGTGAAGCGAGAGTTGGCAGGTGATGGAGATACTGCTTCAGCTTGTCAAAGGCAGCCTGGCACTCCTCGGTCCAGGCGAACTGATCAGACTTCTTCAGCACCTTAAAGAAGAGCAGAGCTTTCTCGGCGGACTGGGACAAGAAGCGATTCAACGCGGCCAGGCGTCCATTCAGCCTTTGAACTTCTCGGACGTTCCGAGGTGGGGACATGTCCTGAATAGTCTTGACCTTGTCGGGGGTGGCCTCGATTCCCCGGTGGGAAACCAGATACCTCAAGAATTTTTTCGAGGTGACGCCGAAGACGCACTTCTTGGGATTCAACTTCATCCTCGAGTCTCGCAGGACACCAAAGACCTCTCTCACGTCTGACAGAAAGGATGAAGTGGCGAGACTTTTGACGAGGATGTCATCCACATAGGCTTCCACATTGCGGCCGATCTGATCCTTGAAGAGTCGGTTGATCAGCCTTTGGTAGGTCGCTCCGGCGTTCTTTAGCCCAAAGGGCATGGTAATGTAACAATATGTACCTCGGTCGGTGTAGAACGCCGTTTTCTCTTGGTCCTCTTCACTCATTCCTATTTGATGATACCCTTTGAAGGCATCTAGGAAGTAGAGGATTTCATACCCCATTGCCGAGTCGACGAGGGTGTCTATCCTCGGCAGAGGATAGCAATCTTTGGGGCAGGCCTTGTTGAGGTCGGTGAAATCTACACACATCCTCCATCCGCCAGTGTACTTTTTGATCATGACTGGGTTGGACAGCCAGGTGGGATATTGGATCTCGTGAATCATCTTGGCCGGCAAGAGCTTGTCGACCTCGTCCGATATGGCCTTGCTGCGTTCGGGGCCGAAGTGCCTTCGTTTCTGCCGCACAGGTCGGGCCTGTGGGTTAACGTTGAGTTGGTGAGTCATGAGTTCAGGTGGCACTCCGACTACTTCATCTACGGACCACGCGAAGATGTCTCGGTGGTCCTTGATCAGGGAGATCATTTCTTCTTTCAGGGGTGAGGGGAGTCCGGCCCCTACTTGGATCACTTGGTCAGGTTTGCCTTCATCCAAGACTACTTGTTCCACCTCATCCCCCGGCTCAAGCCTGTTGGGCTCTGCTGCCTTCTTAGGGTCGATGCAGTCTATGGAAAGGACAGCCTGTGACGACCCCACTTCTCCCAAGGGCGAACCCAAGGGTATCGGCGGGCCGCCTGCCTATCTCGCGCCAGGACTCAAAACTTAAAGTTCGAAAGAGCACTAAATACAATATATACAACCCCAAAAGAGTTATAATTACATTCTCCAAAAGTATCGAGTCAAACCACCAGAACAAAAACAAACATCCTAACTGTTCAACTATTACAAACCAATCTAACTATACTAGTATACGAGCCAAAAGTCCCCGCGTCGGCCCCTGCTAAGGAAAACAAAAGGAATGGGGTAAGTTATATGCTTAGTAAGTAAACAGGGACGAAAGCATAAATTTCACGTAACAGTTACACAATAAGAGTAAAGCAAAAGCAGAAAAGTAACATCACATAATAAGGATACAGGTGGCTCCAAAGCCAACTCATGTGCCATGCGTGATCTCCTGCCGACACTCCGTCGACTGCAAATAATAGTCCGTAGAACTTCACTTGTACACCCACCGACACCTTATCACCCTCACTGGCCAGTCACCTCACAAACTTGCCCGGGCGAACGAAATCACAAACTTGAGCTTGAGTCACAAGCTCGGGTCACAAATTTGGTCACCTTCTCGGTGAACCGGATTCACAAAATTAGTTCATAAAATGAACCTACAAACTTGGTGACCTCAGACTAAGTTGGACTGCCTTCGACCAAGCCCTAACCGGCTCGAATAGTCCAACCAGGTCAAGAGTTCGCCCCAAACTCACAAACTTCACAAAATTATTCAAAATCACAAACTTTGCAAACTTCACAAACTTTATTCGAAAGTCGCCCCGAGCCACAAGCTCAAGAGTTTTGGTTCCAAAAGGTTCATATACATATGCCAAGTACAATTATACATTCAAATTAGGGTTTAGGTCGAGTGCGATAAAGTACACCCTCGCCTAAGTGTCCTTTTCACATATCTCAAACACATAGCAAAGAAAACACACCAAACCGGCCTGAATACTTACTCAAAATACCAAAAGTAGTACGGAAGCAAAATCGCTTCGCGCGTTCGCTAGTAGTGGGCCCCACCGGCTCCGCCTAGCTCACCGCTGTCTGAAATAGAAGATTTTATCACAAACGGCCACTAACATGCCCAAAACAAGCAAAACGGCAAAACAACACGCGCGCACGTAAATATGACAGACGGAAACGGAAACGGCAGATTTGACACTCGTTTCTAGTTTACTCATAAGTTGAGCTACGAATATCGGATTAAGGCGTATGAGACGCCATATCGAAGCTTAAAGGATGAACAACAACTGTTATGAAGACATCCAGAACTGAAACTGGAGGCTTTAGTCCCAAATGAACCAAACACAATCACTTACGAAATCTGGCCAATGCACAAATGGTCAGTTTTGAGTGCTAACTGTTTTCTATGCTACACATGGTCAAAAGAGCTGAAAATTGGCAGTTAGATAGTTCATTCCAAATGGAACAACTTTCATGAAGGTCGGCAATCCAAATTCGAACGGAAATTGGTCATCAGGACCAAAACAGATTTCTGGTCATTTTCACGGGCAGGCCTTGTTTGCTCGGCTATATCTCAGGTTTTATAAATCCGATTCATGAAATTCCAAGGGCGTTAGAAAGCTCTGATATAAGGCTATAAGTTTGGTGTTTTGGTCGCAAGCCCAAACAGCTTGTAACCCAGTCAAATGTGAAGCCAAAGTTCCAGTCGTAAACTTTCCAAAAACGTAACAGAATTTGCTGGTCAAAACAGGTCTGAGTATTTCGTTTATAGCTCAGGATATACTAACCCGTTTAACCTGAAAATTTACAGGGATATCCAGGACTTAAGGGGCTACAATGTTGAAGAAGGAAACTTTATCCAATTTTGAATGTAACAAGGTCAAAAATGTAAGACACTATACCAGAATTGCAAAATAGGATCACAAACCGTATTTGACCTTAATATGCGGTAATGGCACCAAATTCACTACGGTTATCGGATGGGGGTGTAAGACCCACCGTTTCGAAGCTAAGAAACAGGAGTACAACAATGTAGAAGGTCACTCAATCCAGTTCCTAGCTTAACTAGGTCGAAAATGCCAAATACTATACCAGAATTACCAAAACAGGTTTGCAAATCACACAAAACTGTAATTACTATAACTTAGTCTATACAAGTCCAAATGCCGAAATTCCAAAGGCATATGTTAGCTAAGACATCCTGCTACATTTCATCAGAAGACACCAACTTCAAAATCCAAACCAAAACCAGTCAAAATGGCCAATTACTATCGCAGTTTTCGCATTCTGTCCAAAGCAGAACAGCTACAGTAATTTCGTCATAACTCATTCTACATTAATCTAAATGACCTGAAATTTTGCAGGCATCTCAATCACATCAATACCTACAACTTTCATGTTTTGAGCAAAGTCAAATTCGGCCTCTAACCCTATGATCCAAAACCGGACAGAATTGGGGATTTAAGAACCCTAGCTTTGCAATTTTCACACCAAATCCAAAATTGGTTGCATTTATCCACATTTCACATCCACTAGAGCCATTATAGTCCATTTCCAATCATCACAAACAACCACACCATCATAATCCAATTAAACCAGAAAAATCATCATAAAATGGAAACTTCACCAAATCACTCCAAACCAAGATAAAAACCAGAAATTTCAGCACTTGAATCACCAATAAGCATAACATAAGCATCATTAGGTGTAGTAGGGTGTTTCAAGCCTCACTTACCAAGAAACAAGAGAGAGGAGGATGTTGGACACCTTAAACCTTCAAACAAGCTTCACTAAAGCACTCACTATCACAAAAAGGAAAGATTTTATGGAGTGGAATTGGATCTAACAAATGTTTTTGGATAATTTGCACCAAGTAGAAGCTTGAAAGTTGAAGAAATTTCCTTCCTTGTGGAGCTTGAGAGGTCCGGCTATGGTGAAGAAAGAATGAGGAAATTTTAATGAATTTTTAAGATATTTAACATTTGGTCAAAAAAGTCAAGAAAGTGAATAGTAATTCTTAAGTCTTCTCCAATGAAATTGTGACACTTGTCACCACCATTAATGCATTCCTATCCTTTCTTTTCTCTCTCACATCAATCATATCTCACTCTCTACTTATCTCTTAACACCCGATAAATTTTACACAGTATCCGGAATTTAACCTAATTGGCCGAATTTTTTCGAACTTTTCGCACTAGTGGGTCCCACGTCCGATATACGTTCTTAATTTCTCAAAATCTAACCAATACTAGAAAAATCATCTAAAAACTATATTTACTCATAAAAATTATCTGGGGAATTTTCTAATAAAGAAAATGTAGAAAAAACGGGTTTTCAATCTTAACCGGAACTTAGGGTTTAAATCTTAATCCCTACTTAGGGTTTTCGAAATACTCCCAAAACCAAACGTTACCGCCCAATTAATGAATATATCAACGTAGAACGAACTGGGGCCTCACACAGCCGGCCTCTTTTCTTCTGACCTCGGCGAGGGCCGAGGTGCGACTACTGCTTGAATGGTGGCGAGGTAGCACTCCCGGACGGCGCCCACGTCGCTGCTCACCTCGGCCACCCCTGCGGGTGTTGGGAATTTGAAACTCAGGTGGTAGGTGGAGTATACGGCTCTCAAGGCGTTGAGCGTGGGTCGGCCTATCAGCATGTTGTAAGGAGAGTCCGCTTTGACCACCGCAAAGCTGACAGGCACAGTTCGGCAGCGGGGATGGCGCCCGATAGTCACCATCAAATTCACCATACCCTCCAGGTGGACGACGTGTCCCCCGAAACCAACAAGGGGAGTTCTGACCGGAGTGAGTTGCTCCCGGGTCAGGTTCAAACTCTCGAAAGTTCGATAGTACATGACGTCTACCGAGCTTTCGGGATCAACATAAACCTTTTTGACTATGTAATTGTTAGTGAGGATCTCAATCACGAGGGTTTCGTGATTGCTGGAGGCGACGGGGACAGGGTCACGGGGACCATAGGTTATCACCTCGGACAGCCTCGAGCTCGGCTCGACCAGCTCCATACCGGCTTGGCGGTAGGTCCGCTTCCGAGAGTTCTGGCTGTCTCCTCCCGTTGGGCCACCTGAGATGGTGTTGATCACCCCGGCAATATTTGGGCCGTAGCCCGGCGATCCGTCGCGCGGAGGTTTCTGATCCCCCTTATGGTCCTCAGGACCTCGGCAATGGAGTTTGGTATCCCGCCTGTCCTCTCGGCGGAGACCTCGGCTCTCCCGGTGGGAGGTACTTCGGTTGAGACCTCCATCTTTGCGGACAAATTGTTTCAAGTGTCCTTGTCGAATCAAGTTTTCGATTTCTCGCTTCAGGTCGTTGCAATCTTCAGTCTCGTGCCCCACATCTCGGTGGCAGGCACAGTAGAGGTTGGAGTTCCTCCTATCTCTCCTCCCCGGGATCTCAGGAGGAGTTCGGCCGAGGTGATTTTGTCTCATCACCGCCAAGACGTGAGACCGGCTAGAATTGAGCGGGGTTAGCTCGGCGTCCGAGGTGGACGACCTCCCCTTCACAATCCGATCGAAAACACTCCGGCGGTCCCGGAGTTGGGTTGAAGTGCCACTTGGGTCGGGTTCACTTCGGCCGGTGTCTTTCTTCCTCCGGGGATCTTGCCCCGTACGAGATGCTTGGGCTTCTCGCTTCATGCGGTTTACATCCTCACTTCGGATTCCCTGGTCTACTCTTTCCCAAAGTTCCCGAACTGTACGAGGGTAATCCCGATGGATTTCGGTGTTGAAAATCCCAACTACTAACCCGTTGGTGAAGGCAGCAATAGTTACCTGCTCGTTCTGATCAGGTATCTGTACATTCTCCTCGTTGAACCTCTGGGCGTATGAGCGAAGTGACTCGCCCTAACCCTGTTGCAGGTTCAAGAGGTAAGCTGAAGTCTTCGTTATTGGTCGAGACGACACAAAGCGGTGGATGAACCGGTCTATCAGCTCATCTAGGGAGGAAATGCTCCCTGGTTCTAAACTCCAGAACCACTTTCGGGCAGTCCCATGTAAGAAGATGGGGAAAGCCCGACAAATCACGGCGTCAGGGACGCAGTAGAGGCGGAAAGCGGAGATGAAGGCGCGGAGGTGATCCTCGGGGTCACCTCGGCCGTCATAAGTGTGCAAGTTTGGAAGTTTGAAGTTCGGGGGCACCATCTCCCCATTGATGTCATCGGTGAAGGGCGGAGCCCTCATGTAGTCAGAAGCTAGGCCCCCGGGGCGCCGAGGCGGGTCCTCGGCACGTTTCCCTAGCAGTCCCCGGGAAAACGCCCGGGAGATGGAGGCAAGTTTAGAGGTCGCCTTGGAGGAGGCGCGCCTAGAGGTACTCCGAGAGAGACGCCCTTTATCAGAGTCCTCACCTGAGGGCGCTTCAGGAGACTTCGTCGGCCTCCTCTTGGAAGACTCGGCCTTTTCTTTCCCCTGTCTCTTGAGGTATCTTCCCAGCTCCTCAAAAATGTTGGGGTTGTCTGATACGAATTCGGCCATCTTGGCGATGGCGTCCTCGTTGTTGGGCTGGGTCCTTTGGGACCCTTGCTCTTCAGAAATGCGATCTTGCTGGACTCCCGAGGTCTGCCCAGCCCCGGTGAAGGGAACTCTTCCGCTTCTAGAGCGCGTGGATCTCATCTTAGCAAGTCTCGTTTCCCACAGACGGCGCCAATTGAGGAGGTGATTTTTGGTTGGTAGCTGAACCGACCTGAATCAATCCTCTCTGAGATGAGATTAGGTAAACTCGATTGTCTCACCTTGGATGGAATGAAGTGAGGTCGTAAGGTCGAAGTGGATAGCGGGGCTTCTCCCCTGATATCATTCCGACAGTCAAGTTAGTATGAGAACGAGAATAATAAAAGTATGAGTCAATGAATAGTATGCTTACTTGTTGGGAGTGTGTGTGGGGTATTTATAGGAGAGTAGAGGACAGGACGGAAACCTCATGCTGGTGGGACCCACTCTCTGGCATTACGGCTCTGTCCCCTGTCAGGAGGTCTGACCCTGACACTGTAGCTTTCTGGGTATGATGACGGAGAGTATTGGGCAGGTGCCATTAAGTACCTCCAGTGCTTTTCAGATAAAGCACTGGTCTCGGGTGATGTCAGGTGGCCTGACATCATCAGCGTGCGGCCGAGGTGGGGGTGCCGAGGTCACCCACACGGTAGACTAGGGATCCGGCCGAACTCAGGGGTTATCCTCAAAACGGGGATGACCTCTGTACAAACCGTCTGTGTTGACTCGAGGGACGAGGTGGATTCACCTCGGACGTGCGAGGTGTCCGAGGTGAGCATCCTCAGCAATGGCAAGCCAAGAACACAGGATCATCCTCTCCGAGCTTTTTCACTAAATTGCCATGCCTAAAATAATGCTGAAAGAAGTTTATGATACATGGCTGATGTTGAAATTGACTGCATCGTGGTTGGTGGTTAAGTTTTGGTTATCAAACTTTGGTATCATTGAAAGCAGATGGCAATGAGACTGAGATGTTGCAGCTTACAAAGTTCTTGTTCTAATCATCCCACAAGCATTAATGAAACCACAATCGTCACACGAAATCAATAGATATATTATAATGAACACTTTGCAAGTGTTCAACAAATACAATAGCAATCATGCGTTCAACAAAGAAAATAACAATCTTTTATACGTGCAAAATCAAAATATTAGTGGAATAAAAATCAATATGCTTATAGTATAGTTTTTGATAGTGGAGAGAATTTTAAGAGATCTCGTCTGATCACTAGACCAATTCTGATATTTATACATACGGTATACTTAAAGTGCATATATAGAATACATAGTATATATCCAATATTGCCGGCAATCATGAGCTCGGGTGTGCTAATTAATTAGTTGATCCGTTAATTTGGATTTTAGATTTTACACAAACAAAGGATACCAAACCCGCACGTTTAATTGAAAGGATAAAAAGCTCATTTGGCCCTTAAACGTTAAAAATGCTATGCTTTTAGCCCTCTAACTATTAGCTGTATCTTTTTAGCCCTTAAACTGTTAAAAAATGCATTATTTATTGTAACTCTTTCTTTAGTTTGAGGTGTTAAATTTGATGGAAAGAGCATCAAACCCCTGCACCAACGAAAATGAAAAGCTTTTTTTTTTGCTTGTCAAAATAGTAAAAGAAGCATCCCAAATTTAGGCTTTTAATTCAAAACAAGTTGAAATACACAAGTTATAAATGTGGACTAATCTTCATAACATAAAGAGTTCGTTAATATAAACTATTGAAAATTATGATATATATTGGGTTTTGAAATAATGAAAAATAGTTGAAGTAATACAAAATTGAATCTTGAAATTTTGGAGTATTTCATGTCTATTTTTTTTTTCCCTCTATATGAACTCTCCACATTTCAAGGAATATTTTGATGTAAAATTCAAAAGATTGGGAGAAAAATTTGTAAAACAGTGATAGAATTATAATTTTTGTTTACTTCAGATCTAGTCTCATCCAGTCAGATTCATTAAAAAACTGAGTCTAAATTTAAAATTTATATAAAATATGAAGTCTAACGATATAATTTTATCAAAATTTAACAATGATAAAGTGACGTTCAATCCTTAATCTACGATCGTTAATCGACTAGGTTTTTATGAACTACTACTGCTAGAGTTAATGGTTTAAATTGATGGAGGGGTTACATGTTTTAAAAAAGATTACTACTCCCTCCGTCCCATTTTATTAGTCTTGATTTTTTTTTCACACAGATTAAGAAAATGTAATTAATTTGGTTGGAAACATAAATTTAGATTAATAATTTCCTAAAATACCCTTATGCTAATCACCAATTAATATCAGTTACAGCTAATGGGTTAGTATTGGAAAAACTCAATGTATTCAATGTAGTGGGTTAGTATTTAATAACAATGTATTAATAACAAGATATTTAATAAGGGTATTTTAGATAATTTAAAAGATTACTACATTTCTTAGTGCCTGTTTGATAACATAAAAAAGTGCTGAAACTGAATTCATTCAGACATTCAAATGTTGTGGGTGTTTGATAAATAAAAATTCACCTGCTGAACTTATTAAGTGGTGCTGAATTTGTATGTATTTTTTTCAGCACAAGAATCATAGCTGAATGTTTAATTTGATAAGAGTCAAGAGATTTACTTCAACTACTTTATCTTATCTACTAAATATATCCCTGTTTGTTAATTACATTCAAAATCCTTATTTAATTAAACAATCTAATATTCCCTATTCAAAATCCTTATTTAATTAAACAAAACAACCTGATATTCTCTATTCAAAATTTTTTTTTAACAATAATATTTTTTTGCAGTAATTTTCATCCACAAACATTTATATTTTGATATTTTTTTTGTGCAGATAAATATTATTTATGTGATACAGCTTATCCACACACACGTGGCTTTATGACACCATATCGAAATATTAGATATTGGTTGTCTGATTTTCGAAATGGTTCTCGTCCAAGATCAAAAGAAGAACGTTTTAAACCAAGCACATGCAAGATTGATAAATGTAATTAAACGTGCTTTTGGAGTATTAAAAGCTCATTTTCCCATTCTCAAAACGATGAAACCATACCTTTTTCCCACACAAAGAAACATTGTCATTGTATGCATTGCTCTTCACAATTATTGTCATTTTCATACCTAACAATTTTAAGTTAATTAAATCATAGGTTCTTTTTCCTTTTTGGATTAAAAGATAGAATGGCAAAATTGTACAATTTAGCTTATTAAGTATTAAGTTATGAATATTTATCAAACAGTATAAATAGATTCAGCATTAAGATTCAAACATTCATATATCTCTTTTCAGTACTTAAAATTCAGCAAATTAATTATTTCAATATTCAGAATTCAGAGTTCAGAATTCAGAATTCAGATTCAGTGTTATCAAACGGAGCCTTAATGGGAAAGTGAACTACAATTTGGGACAGATAAAAAAAGAAAATAAGACTATCAAAGTGAGACGGAGGGAGTATTAGTTAGAGAGTCACAAGCATGATGAGATGGTTAAAAGTTGGAGGGCCAAATGGGCTGTTTGCAGTCATTGAAAATCCACCTTGACGTGGCGACTAATACCCCAAAAAGGAAGATACCTTGATGTTAAGTTGATAACGTGGCCCACGATGATTAGTTGATACTTTGGCCGCCTCTGGATGGATTTATTTGTACGCCAAAAAAATCCACATGGGATTGAAATCCCTTGCAAGTAATTCTAACAGAAACATAAGGGTAGTTGAGTAATAATACAAATCATCTAGAAATATCAACGTTGGACATCGACACCGATCCCAAGTCGCGACTCGGAGTTTCTCCTCCTCCGCTGATCTTTGCAATTGCTCCCGATCATCAATTAACCGCGCCTCGAAGCTTAAAAATTCTGTCAAAAATCAGAATCGGTTGTTTCTTAGAAGCTAAACTAGGGTTTTAAAATGTCGGGGAAAGGAGCAAAGGGTTTGATAACGGGGAAATTGAACAAGGATAAGGACAAGAAGAAGCCTGTCTCTCGTTCCTCTCGCGCTGGTCTCCAGGTCCTCACCCCCTTCTTCGCTCTTGACTTTACCCCATATAAAAGTATTTGTTGACGTTTTTTAATCCAGATGAGTTTTTGTGTGCTAGGGTTTGAAAAGTCCGATCATTTGTTTTTTTTTCACCCTTTTAATTGGATATTGCAACTTTAAATTTGTGCTATGATCGGTTTTAGCTCGATAGTTTCCTACTTTATAATCAGAAAGTACATTCATACCTTCGTCTTTTCATTAACTAAGTAGAAAGTAGGAGGATTCGCTCTTTTAGGATTGTCAGTGTAATATTTGCTGCCTTTAGAGACCATTTGATGTGGCAAGTGTGTCGCGGTCAATGAGTTTAAGATTCGACAAGATGGTAGCAGTCAACATCTGTAATCGTTAATCTATGGTTAGTGGTTATAGCTATCTTGTTCTTCTAAAAATAAGTAAAAGGTTTAGAGGACGGACTATCATCACATTCTAGCTCTTGTTTGTGTACTTTCTCTGTAGTGTTAGTGTATCTTTTTTGCCTTTGGAAGATTAGATAATAAGGTGGCCCTGTCAAGGGTAATAATACCTATTAATTCGTGAGTAATAATTCTGGCTTTCACATTTTTCGGTAGGTTGTGCAATGTGATTATTTTGGTTTGATTTATCTAAGGAGCTTTGAGGTGGCTGGTTTGAAGTTCTTGATGCCTTACGGGATAAGTCATTCAATTTGGAATTGTCTATTGTGTTTTAGTTTTTTGGTTTAATGTGGAAGCACATTGGGAGAATTATGATAGCGAATGGATTAGGATCATGACAATTGAAACCATCATTCACGCTTTCTATCCAAACTTAGTGCATCAATGAGAGAAAGGCTCTCCAACTGTTGGTGTGTGCTAATTTTGAACCATTATCACTAGTTGGCGTTTTTCTACTGTTAACGGTCAAGAATGTAACAAGTTGGATAGCCATCATCCTTGTGGACATTATACTCAATTATGCAGAATCTGAATTTCAAAAAATTATTTTTGGAGGTATCTGTTAGATAAAGTCTTACTTTGGATGTTTCCACAATTACCATGCTCAGTTTGGTTTGTCCTTCTCAAGGGTTAAAATAAATAGGCATATCAGCACCCCCTTTTCTTTAAACACATTGGTCAAAATGTAGCATGAGAAAAGTCAAGTGTTTCGGAGTTTGAATGGACAGTTAAAGGTGAAGGATACAATAGACAAATTTTTCTTTTCCTGCCTAAGACAGCCTTTTGTGGCCTTGATGGCTTATGTTTTTGAATGTGTTAGCAATATGCTTAAGGTATGGCTTGAACAATTTTCCCTTTCAAGTAACTCTCAGTTTGTATACTATGTCATAGTAGAACATGCTTTACATTGGTCAGGCGATGATATTTATCTGTACATACTGGTATCATCTATACCAAGCCATGCTAGATCTAGTTGTAGACCTACCATGATAATGGACTTGCAAGTGCTTGGATTTCCGAAAGACTGCAAAAAAATTGTTACGACTGCAAGTGTTTTTTGGCTGTTTGTATTCGAGTCTATTATTGTATTTGAGTCTATTATTTTATGGTCATAAATAGTTCCAGAACGTCGGCATTTTTATTGTCTTTCTTCCTGTTTGGTCTCATGGAAGAATTGCAGTGTGCGAGTCCTCTTATTTCTATTATTTTGAATGCAATAACTGCAGTTTCCTGTTGGTCGAGTTCATCGTCAACTTAAGACTCGAGTTTCTGCTAATGGAAGGGTTGGAGCTACAGCAGCAGTTTATACTGCAGCAATATTGGAGTATTTGACTGCAGAAGTTTTGGAGTTGGCAGGGAATGCAAGCAAGGATCTCAAGGTGAAGCGTATTACGCCGAGGCATTTACAGCTTGCAATCCGTGGAGATGAAGAACTTGATACCCTTATCAAAGGAACAATTGCTGGTGGTGGAGTTATCCCCCACATCCACAAGTCCCTGATCAACAAGTCCTCCAAGGAATAGTTTTTCAGTTTGCTTTGCCATTTGACTTTTTAGTTTTAAAAACCATGCCTGTCATGAGAGGCTACAAACTTCTCCCCCTGCATGACACAATAGAAAGCTGAGACTTGCAATTTAATTTCTCTGTTTTTGGTTTTTGGTTGATGAATCTTGAAACTTTTAGATTTACTTTAGATGACAAATTGCTATACAGGAATTAGTCTTGCTATCAAAGAAGTTTACGCTAATGTCCTGGTTCACTAGTTAATCCGTTTGTAGCACTTCTGTTTCTGATGCCTGCTAGCAAGCTTGTAGCACAGGTGCTGGTTTTGGCTTTGATCTCTGCTGTCCGGCTAATGAAATTGAGGGACTTGTACTTGATGAAACCAATATGGAGCGTCTTCAAATTGTTATGTGTCGATCCCTTTTTCTCCACCTGTTAACAACCCGTACGCTTCAATCCCCAATCTCCAACAAATCCCCAATCTCCAACAAACCCCCTTCCTGCTCTACCCTCCCTCTAAATGGGAGAAGAACAAAGCGTTAGGGCGTAGAGTTGTCGGATGCTTGAAAGTTTTAGCATCTAGTCTAGGGACAAAAGCATCAATGACAAGCAAAATATCTCTAGGGACAATGAAATTAGGGATAATTGCAGAAAACTCCTCTGATAATTTCACTCAGCTCCTCCGAGGTTTCAATAATTACAGACCTCCTTTAGTTCAATTAAATGATTAAAATGTCCTCTACCTAATAGTTAATTCATAAAGGGATATTTAAAATCAAAAAATACTTCTTATTATTCTACTTACCATTTTCGAATTTCAAAAAGCAATCTTCATCAATTTTCTAAGTTTCATCTCTTCCTCTCTCTCTCTCCATTTCTCTTTCATACTCTTCTCTCTTTTCTTCTATAACTGTTTTTTCCTTTCACCAAATACTGCACTCCATTGTTATCAATCACACCACTATCAATTTTTTATCATTTTCAAAATTTATCTGTACTTTTTTGTCTTTCTGTCTCTTTTTTACTATAAAAATTATAGACCCTTTATTTAAATAAAAAAAAAGTTTTACTCTTTACAAATGTTAGCCAATTCAAGTTACCAAATTAACAAGGTGCAGACAGTGGATTTTATTGTCAAACTAGGGGAAGATCAAAAAGGTGACAACGATATAGGTAAAAAAAATGAAATTGAGAGTTGGAAGATTAAGAAGTGACTATTATGTTTGTTAGGCAAAAAAATTTAGCAATTAAAAAACTAATTGATTCTCTCTTTTATTTATCTATTGATTGTAATTTTACTATGAAAATAGAATTTTGTCTCTATTTCTAGGATGCTAGAGCAATGATGAATTATGTTCTTATGGACATGAGCACATTTTTTGGTTTAGTATTGGTAGTGATGGTAGTGAATTGTATTAGACAAGAATAAGTAAGTAATGAATTTTGTGATGAGTTGAATTCGTTAGACTTTGTTTGCTTCAATGAGTCTGCCACGAACAATAAGTTAAAGATTAAAACATTGTTTTGTTTTGTCTTGTTCTCAAGGGTATTTTAGAATATTTGTGAAAAAATATAAGTTATTGGTGACGTTAGGTATCGAGTCAGAGTCTACACTCATAATACAAAGATAGGCATCGCTGAGAGAGAGAGAGAGAGAGAAGAGGGAGATAAGAATATCACTAATATAAAGAGTAAGAGTCTAAATTTTTCTAAAATAAAAAAAATTACAAGACCTCACTTGTTCATCACCTTGCCCAAAACATAAAAGCTACGCGGGGGAGGGAGAAAGAAGTTTCTGAAGACTAAATTGCATTCAAGTCTTTCTAACAAAACTAAATTGCATTAAATTTCATCTAAAGACATGTACAAAGATTCCTTACTTCACTGTTCAACAAGCTTACACAAGGATAATAAGCCCTTACCAATGAGAAAAAGGTCGAGACGAAGAGAGAGTATACATGTTTGAGAAAGATCCGAAACCAAAAGAATCAGGGTAGCGCCAAACTAATATAAAAAATTGCCCAAAAGGAGAGATGCGCTTATACTCTTCCTTTGAAGCAGAAACATAACCTAAGATAAGAGGCGGACGAAAGAGAAAAAATTTTAAGAGGAGAAAGGAAAAAGAGGAAGCCAAAAAAACACTAGCTATTTGCACGTCAAAAGAATAATCAAAGCACTCTATTGACTCTGCAAATCCGGATTTAATATAAGCCTGCTTATGAAGGGTGATATAGCTGCTAGTAATGCCTTGGGACACTCCTCATGTGGAAGATGGCCACAACCAGATATTGCAACCAGTCTCTGCATAATAACAAAAATCACGTACAATTACATTAGTCAACTTAAGCTGAAAATTTCCCATTTTCCAAAACTTTCAACACTGGTCACCTTGCTGTACAGATGTACTTAAAAACTAGCGAGAGTTTACATAGAACTATTATAGTTCCAATGTAATTCCCACTAGAAGTTGGTAAAGGCTGAAGTATACCACTCCTATACTAATTTAGCAGACCGAACCTAATAAAAGCCTTATCCCTCAGAGTAGCGGCTCTGCCACAATAATCATCTTGTACCATTACCAGTTCCCAGAGATTGTGTTGTATTGCATACCGACTTCTTCATTCTTAGTTATTTTCACCCTTATTGTCCAAGGGCAAGTTTCTAGTTTAACCAGAAATTGCATTAGTTCACATGATAAATGCTCGAGTAAACCACAGTAGACCAAAGCTAACATAAGCCTTCTCCACCAGAATAGAGTTTCTGCTAGATTATGGATTATTCACCAGACATCAAGTTTAACTTCTTCATCCAGTATTGTTTTCGCCCATATAGTCCCCATGGCAAGTTTTTGTTTAACCACCCTGGTATCTAGTAATCTATTGTTGTCCAACAATACTGACATCAAGAATGTCATCTTGGTGAAATCCAAGGCTATAGCTCAAAAGAATACAGCTAAAGCAACCTACGAAGAAATGAGGGAAAAAGGAAAAGCAGAAAGGAACTTACAGAATTCACAAATCTTGAAGCCATAGCCTGAACAGATTTTAGAGGCACAAGGGCATCTTCGGCTCCCGCAATAACCAAAACTGGCAGTTGTTCAACAGATTTAAGCAGAGATTCTGCATGTTGTGGCGATAGGACTGTTTCAAAAGATAACTTTCCTATCTCATGAAGAGCTTCATCCCAACCTTCTACGCATAATGGGGCCTGATTCAACCAAAAAAGTGCACATTAAAATAGATCATTAATTTAAGCGTAATTATCAGCCCAAATGTCTCAAGGCCATAGTGAAACTTGGGGAGACTAAAAAGCCAAAGCAATGGAAATGCTCCACTTTCAGGACATTGTTAAGAATGGAATTCATCAATGATCATCTCATGCCTCCTCAGATGTGTAAAAGTAAACAAATCAAATAAAACTTAATCAACTTGAAGATTACGTACAAAATTAGATGACAATTCCCAGTTGGCAATGAAAAACTGCTTAACCCAACAGATGACTGTGACAACTATCTTATGTGTGAGTACGGGGAATGCACAAATCCAAAGCAGCAGACATTGTAAAGCTAAACAAGATATTCACAACATGGCATATCTTCATTATGAAAAAAATAAAATAAAATAAATCTACCAATAAATAGAAGAGAAATTTGAGAATGTTAGATCCTAATAATAAATGCCAGTTTTAAAACTGCATATACATTGAAGTTAAGAATCATAAACATTTAACTACAATGTTCTGTTTACAAGATATGCATCAATAACTAACAATTTTTATCGCAATACCAACATTGAGAATCAATGATGAGAAATGAACAGAAGTACCTTGTATAGGCTCAAGACTTCAGTTGTTAGCTTGGTAGCATCATACCATGCTCGCCGATTTACTACTTGAGTGATTTCAGTTCGCAGTAGAGGACGAACCAAATGCTTTTTCCCAAGGGAAGTCCTAAGTAATATTCTAGCAAAGCCAGGGACCAACTCTTTAGACAAGCTTACACTAAGTAGTACAACACCTTTGATTTCAACCTGCATGATGAAGTTCCTGTTAACTACAATAAATACTGATGAAAAAACAGATAAAATTGCCAGAAATAAGAGTTATTTTAAAAAAAAAAAAGAGTGACATTATGATTCAGATGCTGACTAACACTAGTGGGATTGTCTGGCGACTGGATTCTTTCCGCAGCCTTCAGTGCAAGTAGCCCTCCATCATCATGACCAACAAGTACAACTGAAGCAAACCTCATCTCCGCACAAAAAGAAAGCAGCAAGTCAACCTGAAAAGACGAAAGCCTAAAAGCTCAACTACAGCAATAAGATGCAAACTTAAAGAACCAGAAACAAACTTGCACTATTCTTTTTGTTCTCTTTCTTTACAAAGAGCAAAGGAATTACCTGAGTATCAAGCTTGTATGGATTAGGCAACTGATTTTCTTCCCAATCCTTGCACCGTGGCCTTGATGTTAATCCCCAACCAGGTCTGTCAAAAGCAGTGACTGGACAACCAAGTTGCCGAGCCATTACATCCATCACATTTCTCCAAGAAAAAACACCACCACCAAAACCATGTATTAAAACAATCCCAAACTGTCCATATGCTTCCAAATCTTGTTCTAAGACTGGAGATCCCAATTTACTGCCCTCATCATCATCAACAGTGTCATCAAGGCTGAGGATAGGCATGTCTTCAGACAAAACTGGGGAGGTAGGAGACCCATCTAAGAGAGGAGTGGAGAGTGAGGAGGTACTGAATTGATTACTGAAGCTCCTGCGAAGATGATACTGATCTTTGGGTAAAACTTTGAATGGTTGTTTGCCAAGAAAACTGGTAGAAGACAAGGAACGAGCAGGTGAACCAGGCGTGCTAAGCTTGTAATGAAGGATAAGCCCTTGGCAAGACATGAACAAGCTGTCAATATCAGCAAGTAATCTAACTGGAACATCGCCTTGATCGCGAGCTAATAATCCAGGTTTTCGCTTCATTTCACTGCCACTTCGTAGTGTTCTGCCGGCAGATGGAGTGGGTGATCGTGGAACTTTCTGATAACCAGAGAAAACAATTTTGCAAGAAAGAACCTGTCAAGCAAGTAAATGATCAGCTTTAGACCATGCTAAAATCCTACATTTCCAGTTCAATAATCAACAGCTACTGTGATGGTTCAGATATGTGTCAAAGTATATTACTGAAAGGAACATGACCAGAAAAATCTATGGGGACTAAATATGCAACAATTTCATGACTTACAGCTTCTGCATCAACCCGGTGAAACAAGAGTTTCCTCCTTGCTCTGCAACTAGTTCTATAGGCAATAACAGTATGGCCAAGAGCAAACACCACAGATGAGAGAAACAACACAGGCATACCCCATGACTTCTTTAAATGGAGCTTCTGCCTTGTTAGAGAAGATGATGCTTCAGCCTCAAGTTGCGAATTGACAGTAAAAATACAAGCCTTTACAGATAAAAGAAGAACTGAAGCAACAGAACATAATGTGACAGTTCCAAGATACGGTCCATGTGAAAGAGCAGGCCCATCACACATTGAATAAACACCTGTTTCAATAGAAACAAAACCACAGAATTAAAACCATTTCTGGAACCTGCAAACGTATGAAGCACACGAGCATCAACTCGCAATTGAGCAGAGCAGCGGAAGACTTCAAAATCAAATGTGCAGTTGAATAAATACACATTCCCATATACTATTAAAAACTCTATTAACACAAATTATCGCACGATCAGGTTGACTCCAGTAACTTTTATTATTTCACAGAAGAAACTTCTAACACAATTTTTTCAAAATTCTATCTTTTTTTTTAATGCTACTCAATATTCCAACTAATGAACTTCCGGTTATCAGTATGCATTATATGCTTCAGTGAAACTATCATTTAACTAAATAAGCCTACTAATTCGATTACAAAGCTGTTTTAGAAGGAAAAAGAAAACCAGACGCAGATTTCTTTACAACTATAAAAAAGCAGATATATAAACTGGAACACAAATAAAAAATGCAATCAATAAATCAATTAACTGACAAATTAAACGGAAAAAAACTCGGAGGGGGGAGGGAGAAAGAGAGAGAGAATTGGGACCGGGAATTACAGATGATGATGAGAGATCTGATGATGGAGACCAAAGGAATATCCATTAATGAACTCCTGAAACCGTATCTCCGCAAATGCTCTCTAAAACTGTAACACGTTACACAGGTGAAGCTCTGAATCAAAAAACAGGGTACCAGCACGTCCGCTATAGCCACCAGCACCGCCGCCGATTGCACCACCAGCGACGCCATCATCAGCACCATGAAATACGCCGTCCTAAGCACCCTCCGCACTTTCTCCATCCCACCTTTACCCCCTGACGACCACCCCATCCTCCCCTCCGACCAAAAAGTACCAATAATTCTCCAATATCCAAAATAATAGTACAAATGCAAATTTTCCTTAGTTTCTTCCTCAATCTAACGAAACTGCCCTGCGGCGAGATGAGGACAGAGATCGGAAGTGGCGTTGAGAAACTCTAAGCGTTGTTGTAACTAAGAAAGCCGCGACTGGAGACGGCGGAGAAAATGCCATCTCACGGCGGCGAAAAGTTAGACTGCCCGTGGAGATAAGAGACAACGACGTCGTCCTTTGGGCTTTCAGGCTTTTCTCAAGGAATGAATGGTTTCCTTAATTTTGGTTTGGAAGATTAAAATTTGGCAATCAAACTTAATTTTTTAGTCAATAATGTGGCTCCTCTCTGTAAAGTAATTTCCTATCAGGTTGATTGATTCAAACACAGATAGGGATTAAGTTTTTTATTTTTTTAATTTCACGGTTCAGTGCGTGAGTGTGTGTGTGTGGGAGATGTTGTCGAAGAAGAAGGAGCCGAGGAGAGATGCAGGATGGCAAGTGGGGACCCCTCTGATTTCTGTTACGTATTTTTGAACTGAGGCTGCTTTGTTTTCATCGTTGTTAATTCTATCATATTTCCCCCCGTTCTCCTGATCATGGGATTAACTACACTAAGGTCCCTTAAGATTGTTGAAATTACAAAACATCTCACATGACCTCTAAAATTACTACATACACCACTTTATTCCTTCGATGTACTTTTTTTCTATACCACATCTCCTATACCACATGGCACCAGTTCAGTGGGATGGCTTTACAGGTGGCAATTTCTAACACGATCCGAAAATACGATACGAACCTAACACGAAATTAATGGATTTTGGTTGAGATTTCAGGGTTCGGGTCAGAATCGAGTCGAACCCGATGAACTCGAAAATAAAACAGATCGATTTCGGGTCAACCCGTGGCGACCCGATATGACCTGTTTACGAATTAAAAATAATTTAATAAACATAAAAATTATTTTATCTAACTAAACTAAATCATTCTTTTTTTTCAAAGACATTAATTATTTAGTCCTAAATGAATTTATTTAACTTGTGTGAAGTTAAAATTATTATATTTGGACAAATAATATATTATATTATCTTTTACTTTTATGCTGTTTTAATTTATTTTATATTTGATTTTGGACAAAACACTTTTACGGTGTTTAATTTATTTTAGATTTGATTTGAAATTATTTATTTAAATTTTTATTACTTTATGATGTAATTAATTTTGTAAGATTTTATTAGAAATTACAGTGATAAATTAATAAATTAAAATTAAGTTTCGGACCATTTCGGGTCGACCCCGCCAACCCAAAATTTTAAGGTCCCTGTCAGGTATCCTGACCCGTTTCGGATTGGCGGGTCAGGTTCAAATCAAAGGATTTTTTGTTATATTTAGGTCTCAACCCAACCCCGCCAACGCGAACTCGACCCGATTGCCGCCGCTAGATGACTTAGTGCATCTAACAGATAATTTTCAAAAGAGGTGGTCTGCTGTGATAAAGGCTCAGATGATCAGAGAAAGCGAATAGCATATAAATCTCACTGTCAACATTCTCTGGCAAATATGAAAATACAGGAACGATAGAGAGTTCAATCAAAAGGAAAAAGAACCTCACAAGATAATTGAAAAGGCTTCAATGGAGTGGATGGAATTTGAGGAGGCTAACAGAGGGAAGGATGCGAGAAGGATCACTCAGGAAACAGAAGAACAACAATGGGTTGAACAAAATCAATAGGTTGGACGCACGAGAATGCTGCTAAAGATTCATACCCAACTAGACAAAAGTCAATTCATTGTGGGAATTGGAATCACTGCTACAGACAACTTAGGCCAACTACAAGCAGCTTGGGCACTTAAAGAAAGAATGTCAGGAGATCCACTACAAGATTAAGCGGAAGCTGTTAAACTAGCTCTACTGAAAGCTGCCAACCAAGGCTGGAGAAACATAGAAGTAGAGCTGGACAACAACAAACTTAAGGGATACATTATGGACTCAAGACACAGCAACTAGCGGTTGACAACACTAATAAAGGATATTCAGTCTATTCATAGCCTGTTTCATCTGTGCTCTTTTTCTTTAGCTAATACAGGGAAATTAGGTAGTATTAAACTGAGCTTGCATGCTTTTAACATTTGGTTAGATGAAGAATGGGTAAATTCCTATCTTAGATGCTAACGCATCATGGATCATCATGGGACAGTTGTCTCTTTTGTTTGGACCCTTGTTCAAGTACTATAAAGCTTTTGTAATGATATATAAATCTAACGTTTCGACAAAAAAAAAATACTGAATAGACCTGTCAACGGGTTGAATCCGGGTCGGAATTCATTATTTTGGACGCGAACTCGGCATACTATATCAGATCCGGATCCGACTTGTTTATTCGATGGATCTTCTAGTTTATGTTTCGGATTTGGATTCGATGGGTCTCGGATCCGGATCGGGTCAACCCGAAAAAAATTAACAAAGCTTATAATTTCTAACAAAAATGAGAAAAAAATATTTGTAAACTAATTTCTAACTAATACAAAAAAATATAAGAAAAGAAATCAAATTGACCTTATTCAAATATATCACCATAATCAAATTATATTGATATATATTTTTTAATTTATTAATCTATTTATATCCGGATCCGAGTCGGATACGGATCGAAATACTATATTTCGTAATCCGACCCTTTTTTTATTTGATAAAATAGATCCGGTTCCGAGTCTGGATAACGGAATTAAATCCATATCCGGACCGTTGACAAGCCTAGTATCGAGGCTAGTCAGATTATGGGGGAGTGGAGCAAACAAAATGGAACTTCAAGTTGCATCATGCATCCCTCAACTCCACAAGGTTTAAAGGAAGGTTTAAAAAGTAATTTCTAGAAGTGTGTGATTAGACATTTTATCTTTTTCCTTTTTGTGAACGTATTACACTTTTAGACTTATGCCAAACAAAATATTTCGTGTCTTAGTTGGAGATCTTTCACAGAAAATTATAGATATATCTTGAAATGGAAATAAACAATCAATAATTACTTATATACCTTGAGATGAAAATAAAATGTGAGTTTCTATGAATTTGTTTGCTGTTTGGCTCGTAAGATTAATCTGGATGCAAGTGGACTAAGGCTCCATTTGGAAGGTGAGTTTTTTGATGTTTGTCTAAAACTTTACTGTAAATTACTGTAGAAGTTTTAAGAAAAATTTTTAGGTTGAAAAATTTTTAAGTTGAAAAACCTTCTTCTTTTTTTTTTTTTTTTTTTCCTTTCCTCTCTTCTTCTTCTTCTCCCTCCCCCCTCCCCCAACACCTCTGCCCTTTCCTCCCTCCCCTGGGACCTCTGCACCTCTGCCAGAGTTGTTGTAGCCATGATTTTTTTTTAGATTTTTCTCTCCCCCTCTCCTTCCCTCTCCCGCCACCTTCCCCCTCCCCTAGCGCGACCAGATCGCAGGGACCCCGTCGTTCTCCAAACTTCTCTTGCAGTTCAAAATGGCTCCATAGAGAGATGCGAGGGTTCCAGCTGCAGTGCGAGGATGAAAACCGAGAAGGTGGTGAATCCTCTGTTCGAGAAGCATCCGAAGCAGTTCGGAATTGGAGGAGCCTTCCCACCGAAGAAGGATCTCACCAGGTTTGTCAAAGGGCCTTTCAATGTCCAGATCCAGAGGAAGAAGAGGATCCTCATGTAGCGATTGACCCAACCAATTCTCCAAAACTCTTGACAAAAATCTTGCAACAAATTTGTTCAAGATGCTTCTTAAGTACAGACATGAGAACAAGGTAGCCAAAAAAGAGCGTCTTCGCAAGAGAGCTCAAACTGAGGCTGAAGGGAAAGCTTCTGATGCTAAGAAGCCAATTGTTGTCAAATACGGTCTAAAGCATGTGTGAAACCTTGTTGAGCAAAACAAGGCACAATTGGTGGTTACTGCTCACGATGTAAAGCCAATTGAGTTTGGTTGTTTGGCTTCCCGCTTTGTGCAGAAAGATGGAAATTCCCTATTGTATTGTGAAGGGAAAATCGCGATTGAGAGCAATTTTTCATAAGAAAACTGCAATTGTTCAGAAAGTTGACGGGGAGGCAGAGGGGAGGGAGGAGGGAGAAAGGAAAAAGAAAAAAGAAAAAAGAGGGGAGCACCAACAGATCGATCAAAGGGGGAGAGGAGAGGAGGAGCGGGGTTGAGGGAGAGGGAGAGAGAAAAAAAGGAAAGCCGGCACTGGTGGCCGGAATAGTGACCAGCGCCGGAAGTGGTGGTGGCCGGCGACGGAGGACGTGGTGGGTTGGGTGAGGGAGTAAAAGGAAGAAAAGTTGAATGGAAAGTTTTCTATGTATTATTTTGAAGTGTGTAGATTAAAAACTTTGATAAATTTTTTGAGATTTCTGCAGTAAAAATTGTTAAAAAGCTAGTTTTATATAAACGTATTCAAAACTCTCAAGTTCTAAGAGACTTCGTGTCTCTTGGTACTTGAAAGTGAAATTTTAAGGCATATATCTTCTCACCTGGCTAATTCAATTTGATTTATTATCTTAACACTCCCTCCATTAGGCAAGTATCATAAATAAGGTCAATTTGCATATTCACTTACACATATCAATGCATGTTTGTCAATTTTGATGCGAAATTTCACAATAGCTTATATACTACTAATCATTGACCTTTTTGTAATATAGATTTAGTGACATTCCGTCAGCAAGATATTTAGAATTGTGATTGAAATTCTATATGTAGTTAATTCTGGAATTACCATTTTGAGAGTCTAATAATGAAATGCGAAAGAAACTAGGCAGGAGTTCATTATAATTAAGACAAATCTAACGGGGGATAGTGCAAATTAAGTGAATATGAATTAGTAGTAAGTCAGTAGGATGATTAATTAATTGAAGTAATCGGGATTAATGAGAGAGGAGTTGATTTTGTATGCACAAGTGGCCCTTAGGCATTAACTGGCAGCCTCTTTTTTTTTTGTTTTTTTTTTAAACCAACAATTTTTACACTAAACTTATTTCTA